TCACAACATCTCACCACCTTGGACCTAAGGCTCAACCAACAGCTGGGCGCAGCGCAAAGCCTGCAATTTGGGAAAATGAAGCCTTTTACCATTAGAAGACAAGCTATCGTGAGATTCGTCGATTCACCGAGTCTCACACCACCTGTGGCGCGGAGCTTAAAATCTTGCCTCCCCTCGGGGAGGCGTGTGTGTGTAACCCTTGGAATCATAGGGATCCTTTCGGATTGTTTTAGCTTCACAGTTGTTTTCCTTGTGCAGCAGGGGCGTGTGGCACTCTCGTCCTACCACACGCAACGAAGCTGTGGGCGAGAGTGGGAAAGGAAACTTGGCCAGTTTCCTGTACCTGCTGTGATAATTACTCCAATCCGGGCCCTGCTTGTACCTAAAACAAGAAATCCAGCCTTTGCACCGGTTTGCTCTCGGCAGTCACGCATAGGGCTTTGGTTTCGGACGACGTCACTCTGTCGCTCGGTCGTTCGACGGTTCCTTTAGAGTTGATGGCCACGCTGAACTTGATGGACCTCCACTTCCTTTTCAGGTTTCCTTACCTGTACTCTTAGGAATTGGTAACCTAGGCCGGCGTGTGGCACCGCTTTCAGTTCAGTACACCCTATCCTAAGTGTGTGGGCTCACAGCCTGCGGTTTGTCCCTGACATTGAATTCCTTGGTGCCTCCTTCCTGCCTTTGTACCAAAAAGAGCAAGAACTCTTAGGATTCTCATGGTTAAGTTGAGTGTGTGTTTCGCGCGCAAACTCAAAAGGGTCCTGAAGACGCATGTTCCGAGGCGCGCTTAAAATGCTGTATAAGCGTGATGCTTTTCTTAAAAAGCCGACTTGAAATGACAGTAGATAGGTTTGAACAGACTTTAGAAGACCTAAAGAACATGCAACCATCCGAGGGCAATTCAGACAAACAAAGGACGCAAGGAAAATGAATAGGCCATCACAGTTCAGTAGATGAGAGAAAATGAATACGGGAATGGAATAGAGCAATAGAAACCTCAAGCTATCGTGGCTGTGTTGAAAAGGGCAAGACTTGAGCAACAAAAATGAATGAGCTTGAAGAATCCAAGACAAAATCTTCTTCGGAATTGCCACTTCCCCCTTTTCTTGCCCAATGCTTTTGTGGAGCTGGCTTAGAGACACCTAGAACTGGCTCGCCCCCTGCACGAAAGTTGTTGTGTCATGCTTCCGGAATTCAAAAGCTCCCTCCAGGTTCCAGGCCTCTACTCATAACCTTGAATCTATTGTGGTTGAAAAAGAATATAATGCATATCAAGTAGAAAACAAAAGGCCTGCAGGTGCCAAGCTTTTGCATCAAACCGCAGAACACGTCTGCAGCCTGCAGCTATCGAAAGGATCCAGTGCTTGGAATGTACAGCATTCTCCAACATGAATGATTCGTCTAGCTATTCTACTCCCGGCTGAGTGATTAAGGGGTGTGGCAAGGAAAACACATGCTGCTGGGCCTGGTCCGATGGAACTGGTGCAGTGCCATAGGGAGGCACCTCACGACATTCTGCACATCAATCAAGGTTTCCAAGAGCCCTCACTAATCTGGAAGAGCATGTACAATGTACATGTAACCAAAGGGCAGTCAACAGAATATTCTTGTCGAGTGAATGTGCAAAAGCAGCCTTCTGCGAGTGGCAGCCTGGGGAGATTTGATTGTTGTTTTCTTATGTGGTGGACAAAGAATGCACATAGGAAGGAACTGCGATAGACAACTTTTAAGCCTATGTTGGCAGCTACAGAGTCTATATATAGCAGGCCGGTTTGTTTAAGACCCCAATGCTTTTGTGGTGGTCACCAAGGACATTTATGCGCGTCAGGGGCGCGCCCCTGTCGCACACTTTTTGCCGCTTTTTGTTGAATCACAGTGGAAATACGACACGCAGAAGGCACATGTAACTTGGAGGGTTCGTCAACATGATCATCGATGTCACAACAGTGTTATCGATATCACAACATTGCCATCGATGTCACAACAGTGTCATCAACATCACAACTCATTGTCAGCGATTTCACAACATTGTCATCGATGTCATAACATAGTCATCGATTAGTTGTGTAGTTAAAATGGGGTGGCCTATAGAGCAGCGGCTGAGTTTATGGTTAATTGAGTATAGGTCTGAATATGCATTGTGTGTTTGTAGTAGTGAGAACAGACTGGTTGTGGATGCTGGGGTTTGATTACACTGTTACTGTTACACATGTCGTTCTGTGTGGCAATGTGCATTGATGTTCGATACGGAAACATGTATGTTCATGTCATTCAAATAAATGCTAGGTTGACCTATATGCGTATATATATATATATACACAGTACATTGTATATCCATATGCAATACGAATATTCATGCCACTCATGGAACAAGACACAAGTAGGTTTGGAAACCTGATTTTATCTTGCGTGGGTCATGCCGTCCACCCGTGAAAACCCCACGCTGTACAGGAGTTTGATTTCAGGGGGCGGACATGGGCTTCAAATACGTGGACACAACGGCTGTGTATGCACTCTGTCGTCCATTGGAACGCCGCGAACTGTCCGCCGCAATCAGCTCGCACAATGGTTGCACAAACGGTCCAAGCGAAATTTGCACACAACGTACATTTTGGGGAAAGGTACCACAGAGTGTGCCTTGACTTTCGCTTGGAGGACTTGAAATTGGTTGGTGTATTCTTTTTGAATCTCTGAGTATACACAGTTGTTTGCGATAACTTTTCCCGCACACGATCTAAGGTATCCTTGCTACAACTTTTCTGTGCTTCCCAAGGCGAAGTGCGCATGTCCGCAGCCAGTTGCGGAGTTCATCCGCTTGTTGGTTGAACTTGACCAAGCCGACCCTCTTCGATTTATGCAGAGTGCTTGGGTTGGCTCGAACCGCAAGCCTACAGAACCTTTCTCTTGGTTGCTGGCGCAAGAAGCTGCTGTCGAATATGCGGAAATGAAGAAAGTCACTTTGCATGGACAAGTCAAAGGTGACGGCACGGCACTGCGGCCACTGCGGCTGTTCAGGAGAGGCGGCCGAAACAACTATGTGGTCTTGTGGGGGCTCGTCCAAAGGCCGCAAGGCAAAGCTGTTCTGCCGGTCAAGACAGTCAAGGGCAATGCAGTCCGCCCAGTGGAAAGCCGGGCTGATGTTTCCTCCACTCGCGGCTTGGAACACATCGTGGACCGTGTGACTCAGGATCAAAAGGTGCCTTCTTTGTTGGCATCGCTTCTGGGTGCACAGCCCTGCTGACTGGAAACCATGAGGCCGTTGTCAAAGATTGTATGCGGGAAAGTGCAGGCTAGTCAACTTTGAAAAGCTACATCCCAAAAAGCGTTGTGGCTCGAGATGGCAACGGTCATATAAATAATCCGCCGGGTCCACAACTACAGCTGGTGGCTGCGAACCACAATGCCTGATGTGATGACCGGTGTACAGCTTTTGGCAGACCACTGGAAGTAAGATGAAAAGCTTGAGATGGAGCACTTCACAGAGGCTGGGAGGCGGCTGACGGAAAAGACACTATCTGGAGACCCACCCACAATAATCGTCGACCCAAACGGAGTAAAACGTGTCAAAATAGAAACAAAAACAGATGTGGTTATTTTCACAAATGTGCCGAGGTCTAAAGTGAACCCGTCAGGATATGTGTGTTTTCTCTGTGCAAGTCTGCTAAGTCCTCTGCACACTGCTGGAGCCATTCGTGCTCAAATGATTGTCGCAATCTCACAGCAGGAAGACCTTCGGAAGCTGCAGATTCACAACATTCTGAGAAACCAGGTGTCTTAGTGTCTTACTGTTCAAGGCAAAGTGAATCAATCTGAGCGTCCTCACACTGGCAAGGATTCTCATTCTGGTGCGATTCTAGCCAATCTAGGAGTGGTTGGACAGATGAGCTGAAGCCTTCCTGAACGTACCTAGAAGCATCGTGATAAACCTAGGCACAATCACAAAATACTTCAAGGGAGTATTGACATGATTCAGTTGAGCATTTGAACCAGCACGTGCGAAACGTGACAAGTAAAAATTAAAGTATATATGTAAACATAAACTGATTCTTTTCAAGAAAGGCTCTAAACCAACCAGCCACTCAAACATACTCCAGCCAAGCAGCCAGCCACTCACCCCACTTCACTCGACGAAACGCCTGCCAAATAATGTATGGCTTCCAAGCACCTCCACGTTGAAAATTGACGCGCTGGTGCCGCCTATACCAGTCACCGTGAGGACCCGACTCAAAGCTTGATCGGTTCCAGCGCCAATGCTCTTCAATCTCAGCAACGCCAAGGCTTTCATGTAACTTCTGCTGAGTTTCCTCAAATATCTTTCCAGATGCATAAGTGACCAGCAGAACCTTCCGCACAGATCCGACACTGGAGCTTTTCAAGGGACCTTCATTGCTGTAGGCATCTTCCTCCGCAAGGGGGGTCAATGGAGTGCCCCGAGGTGCTGGATCACCTTGAACTTTGCAAAGTGTTGCATCGATTAGTCTGCTGGACCTGCAAGAATCATCCGCTTCACATAGAAGTGTGCATTCCTTGGAATCAGTGCTGTAGATCTTGAGATCTTTCTGAAACTAAGAAACTATATATATAGTACTTATATATATATATATAGTACTTATATAGATGCAAAAATTGGAAATGGCAATGACCTTGCTTGTAGAAAAAAGACGGCAATGCCGTGCTTTATTTCAACTGCAACAAAAGAATCCAATACATTGTCCACATTCTGCCCGGGTTCAGCTTCGTCTGCCACAGAAGCGACATATGACAGGACCATGCCATGCGTATCTCTGGTTCCTCGTGTCTACGATGTATTTGTTGCCAGTTTGTGCTCATGCAAGCCAACACCGAGCAGAAAGAAAGGGAAAGAGCATTGTGGAGTCAAGTCATTGCAAAAGTCGTTCCAAGTCTCTTGTCATTTTCTGATGTTGTTGGTATGTCCACAGAGAAGAAAGGTGAGTGCTTTCAAACCCCTTGAGCTTTAGATGTCAATGTCAGAACAGTGTCCATCGAAAACATCAAGCCTTTGATGACCTTCCAGCTGAAGCAAGCTTTCCCAACACAGGGACACATACCTGAACCCAAGTTTTTCTATCCTGTCCATATCCTGTCCCCTTGGATCGTCAATCCACAAAGCTTCCATAAATTCAATGAAGTCATTTGCAGCCCATGACTTTGAGGGCGCAAAAAATGTTGCTCTCCTTTGAATTTGATGAAGAAAAGAATCTATTGAGGAGCACTTGGACATGGCATTTGATGCACAGGATCATTCTCTCACTGGAAAGTCGGCCCAAGTCATCCTCGCAAACAGTTTGTTTCCAAATAGATTTGTTTTCAAGTCACTGCAGCCCTTCTTTCCACTTCTACCAGTGAGCGGGTCTCCTACAGACAAGTCAATCCCAAAAATATTTGTCTCAGTAACACCATGAAGCCCACGAACCCGAATGCACACACGCACTCAAAAACAAGCGATGAAACAATGTAGGACACTCTTGTAAAACAATCTTGTAAAAGACTCCTCTGGGACACTCTTGGTGGGCACTCTTGTGGGACACTCTTGCAGGGCACTCTCTTGTGGGACAGTCTTGTGGGACACTCTTGTGGGGCACCCTTGGCCGGGCAGTCTTGTAGGAGACGCTCTTGCAGGACAGTGTCTCCAAAACTCACGCGTCAAGTCTTGAGAACGTGCGTTTCGAACGAAACCTTCCTCCAAAAGTCCAGCGTCAAAACTGCAAAACGCGCGCTTCGCATGAGACTGCCTCCAAAAGTGAAGCGGGAAGTCTCATCAGAGAGAGCATATCAAGCAGCCCTTCCAAGCAGCTTCGCACTTCCAGCTACACCAAACGTCACAACCTCACCACTCCCTGCGCCTGTCACGAAAATTCAACTTCAACACCTCCAACATGCACAAAGTACTGTGCCTGCCACAAAGCGCTACTGCATCACATCTTCATGTCTTCAGCCAATTTTACACCACACCACACGTTTGGAGTGACTTCGACACTTTCTGAACAGACTTACATCCACCAAAGTTGCGATTTTAGTTGAGACTTGTCACGGGGACCAGAGCAAAAGCAAATCCCTTGGCACAGCGACACTCAACACAACCAAGAAACGTGTCTGGGAACGCCAATCCCGAAGGCACAGCGAAGGCAACTGAGGATATCACGAAACGCTCCACCTGCGAGGCAAAATCATCCTCCATGCTTCAACATGTTACGTTTCAACGCTATTTCACACGAATCTGCCATTTCAGGCTTCCATCCAAAACCTCTTCCAAAAGCTTCCCCCGATCGCACGGCCTTATCGATCGCGAACGGTTGCGGATGTTCTACGCTTCCAAAGTTACACCAGGGTTCGTTTGGCTACGCATTGAAAGTAACAAGAATGAGACACCCAAAACAACGCTCCTTCGAGTGAAGAACGCTGTACGCGGGAGTGCTTCCAGGGCAATCCGCTGGCGAATCAAGTACACCTGACCGACCCTGCAAAGTTCACCTCCAAAAGCTCTCTGGTTACACCAAGTTTCTGTTTGCAAACAAAGGGGTTTTGAGACAAAACACCAATCAAAACCAAAAAAGGAAAGGAAAGATGAAGTTCAAGCCAAATACTTCCGTTGTTGGATCTTCTCTTTCCTGATTATGTAGCATCATTTGATCATTGTTCATGCTGCATGTGACAGTTCGAGCACCAATGCATGCCAAGCTTGCTGCAAGCTCCTCTAACTGCAAATGGTCATGGGCACAAGCTCCAAAAAACACATTCGACCAAAGGACCTCGGGTGCTTTGTTGCTGTGTGTTCATCTCGTCGACCTGAAACCTTCACGGTATTTTCTGGGCCCTTGGCTTGCTTGACGCAAGGAAGCAGGCCAACCTGACCCTCTTCAAGCTCATTGTCCTGGCATGCAAAGGTAATATCATCGCAAGCATCAAAAATGTGCCACTCCTTTCTTTGTACAGCTTTTGCAGATCCATGGGAGGCCTCTTGCAAGAAGGCCTGGGACAAGCTTGTAAGACTGCCGTCAGCCTGTCTTTTGCGTTGAGAATAATAACAAGCTTCAGTTGTTTGTTGCAGATTTCAGGGAAAAGCTCGGTAGATCTCAGAAGGATAAGCCAGCAGAGGAAATACTTGCATGCGACCTGCCTCATCTAAAGCTGCACAAAAGCCAAACACATACTCCATAAAGTGCTCGAGTTCGGTTCCAATGCTCATAGCCTGCCATGCAGAAAGGCATTTACCACTTTGCCAACTTGACTGGAATCAGAGTAGGAAAGTCAACGAGAGCATAAACAACAAATTGCCTAATTAGCCATCCCAGTGTTGCTTTTTCGTCCACTGTGTTCAATCAGAAGTCGAGATATGCAAGAGCTGCCAGGTCTGCACCCCTGGTCTGCTTGCACTCCATGCCTCCACATCCGCGCTGACCTCTTTAGAGGTTGTCAGAATCGTGGTGGTGAGCAACTTCGTAAACTTGACGAAGTCTACATCGGTCAGCTCTCTCCATGACAAGTGAAGAGACCAAGGCTGCTAGGACTTGATGCCACTATCAAGCTTCGCTATATAAACATGTGATTGGCAATCAATCTTGTCATTCAGTGCAAAGCTGGTACAGGTCCTCGTGCAAAGCCGGATTTGTGCCCACTTGTGGGCAATAGCACTTTTGCACCGCCCCTCGAGACCAAGATTTACCTTGAGCATACGAAGTGAAGCAGTCAGCAAAGCCTTTTACCGCCTTGAACTCTTCCGGATAGCGAAAGCCACCAGGTTGACACACAAAGCTCGTACTCAAGGAGCCATGGAAGCTCTGATCTCCTGCCCAAGTCCCACCATTTGGCGTTTGCCACTCTGAGATCTCGCAGGCCAAGTATGCAGTTGCAGGGAAGCGGGAGACGGGCACTTCCCCAAACAAGAGCCGAACAGCCAGCCAAACCTCAGTGTTGGTGTTATTTGATGACAGTGCACCATCTCCCAATATATCCAGTATCATTTTGAAAGCTTTTCCTGAGGTCAGCAGCGACCATCCACCAAGTACCCACTTGGCTGCAGACCGTGGGCAGACTATGTGTCTGTCGTACAAACCTCCCCAATCATCTTTCAAAGAGTCTGGTATCCATGCAGCTCTTGCCGACAAAGCATCTACGGGTGGATGTGGAAAAGCCCAGAAAAGGTCTGCCCTTGTAAGCACAATTCGATCATATTTAGCGGAGACCAACTCCTCTCGCGCTTCAATCATTTCCATGCATTGCTGATAGGCAAACATCACAAAAATACCTGTGCCGCTTCTCCGTGCTATCCGCCGAGGCGTGATACGCTGCTTGGCACTTCCAAGCCAATTGCCACGAATTTTTAAGGCTTCATGTAAGGCTTCAGGAAAGGTCGAACTTAAATATTGTAACACATGGCCTTCGTCCTGAAAGCGAACACTTTTCACCAGCCAGGGGAAGTCTTCAAAAATCACACCTGCAGCTTCAAGCTGCGCACTTGACTGCAGCGGTCCAGCCATAAAGACGTCCACTACATTCCTTGGGTCTTGACAGGATCCGCCACAAAGCGGGTCATACAAATTCCTTCTCTGCGATTTGCTGGTCAAATGGGCCGCACGGATGCGTCCATAAATGCATACAGCCACTCGTTCACCAGCGTTCACTCGACATTCCAAACAAAAATAGTGAGAGATAAACAAGCATTTGAGGAATGATGCTCTACTCAGCATAGCCCTGTATGATCCAAATCTTTGCGGACTGCATAGCATAGCTTGCATGACGCGTGGAAAGATTTAGCACTCACATTGCCCAAGTCAACCAGGCCAGGGTTGCAGGCACATCCTCCTGCCTCAGCTTCAAACAACAACCTACTGCTCCACAAATACTTCTATTGCCCACAGCATACCGTTTGCAAGAGCCAAGAAAACAGGTTGCAGCCCATCACCGATGAAATTCTGGACTGAAAAGCCTTCAACTGTTGGGAGATGATGCACGCTCTAGACATTGGAGCCAAGCTACTTCAGCCAAAGCCGAACAATGACCCAGGCCCATTCAAAGACTCTTCTCCTCAGTACCCATGTTGATTTATGTATTCACATGTGTCCATCAGCTTCGTTACGGCAGTCATCTTAGGCGTTTAATTTGGCAAGGAGCGTAATGAGCGCACAAATCGCACTGCCAAAGATCCCTTCATTTTCCTGCACATGCAGCAAGCTGGAAGCCTGAGGTACAAACCGAAGATCAAGAACTTAAGACCAATGTTTCACACAATCTAGGTCCTCGTGCAGCAACTACACCCACTAGCAGGAACAGGGTAACCAGGTGTATTAAGAAGGAGCAAACACTTCTGCTCAGAACAACGCTCAGACGCGTCGCAGAACCTAGAAAAAGAACATTCTAGAAGGCCAAAGTGCGTCCTGAATCATGTGCTGCTTGGAATGGACGAGCCACACGTGCAAGCTCAACCAATAGGTCTGCGACAGGACTAGTCTGCATCCAAAGCCCCACAACTGGTACAAATCACAAGGATCCACTCAGCAGCTGACTTGATTGTTTCAACTTTGAGATCTCAAGCGGATAGTTTGTGCATTGATGCTTTTCCGTTGATCACTATGTGTGTATATGTATATATACACATATTCGTCTACTTGCTCATTTTGCCTGTTGCAGCATGGCGAAGTACGCGCCCTCTCTCGGTACAGCTTTCGTGTTGTGAAGCGGCCTAAGTCACTAAGTCCAGCTTCGCTGCAGGTCAAGTCTCGATGACTCAATGCTATGGGGTGACTGCATCAGACGCCTTCACGGCAACTAGAACTGAGAGCGAAACTTCTCCAGCCTGATTCTGCAGGAACACACGTTCAAAGCATTGTCAGGAAATGATGCTTTTGAAAGGGTCTTCAAACAGTGCGAACTGGCTCGACAAAGCTAACCTGCAATCTAGTCAAATGAATCTTGACCCCGCCACGTGTTCATTTGTACATGAGTGATCGTCCGGAGCCCATTGTGGCCCAACCTTCCCAGGTGCGAAAAGGTCGTCCACTCTGTGTTTGCGCTTATGGTCACGCGGTTCCCCTACCACTTTAAGTGGTAGCGGAGCCCCTGGTGGGGGCTCTGCCGTCGTGCATCGTCGCCTTCGTCTCGATCCAGGTCAGTGAGGTGAGTGGGAACTATGCAGCGGGCCTTGGACAGCCCGCCACCGCCGCGGCGTCGCCCGCAGCGGAGGCCAGTTGAGAGCGACTACGAGGAGTCGCAAAAGCCTGAGCCGCCGACGGCCGCAGTGGATCGTGGGTTTAGATCAGCTGCTCGGGCTGGTGGGGAAGGTCGATTGGGGGCTACAAGCCAAGTGGATGGCCGATCCACTGGCTATGCTCGTGGCAACAATTCTCCGGTGGTGACGGGGTTAGCACCACCTCCTTCTTTTGAGGCACCTGTTGTTCCTGACCGGCACCATCAATTTGCAGAATGTGTTGACGGTGATGTTGGACAGGATCAAGAATGGCCAGATCACTCATGGCATTGGAACTGGCACAGGTCCCACACATCTTGGTGGACCTGGTCTGATGGATATGATCGCACCCATGCATGGACATGGCAGGCATGGGATTGGGACCATGCAGATGATCAGAACTCTTCCGACAGGAGTTGGCAGCGTGTGGAAGTGGCACCAACCGGTCCTGCCAGTGGGACTGCTTGTGAGAATGGTGGGCACCAGGTCTCCTCGGAGGCCGTTGACCGGGTAGAAGAGTGGTGGCAGTCCGATGGCGAGTGAGGACGAGAAGCCACCTACCTCGTCACCTGCTGCCGATAAAGAAGTCAAGAAGTCTCAACGCATTCCCTCTTCAGCTTTGCAGCACAGCCGACTGAGTCCTATCAGGAATGGAAGCGGGCTGTGCAGATGTGGATTGCTGGTGAGGGTGGTCTTCTGCCCTATGAAGTGATTGGACCGCGTGTGCTGTCCGTCTTGAAGGGGAGGGCATCCATCCTGACACGCAAGTTGTCTGTGGCTCAGGTGTCAGGGAAAGACGGTCTTGACATCATCTTCCGCACGCTGGAGAACTCGTCCTTGGTGCAAGAACTTTCAGGCCAACGTGGTGAGCGTGCTCAGCGAGAGTTCTTGCAGTGTCGTCGGGTAGCTCATGAAAGCTTAGATTCATTCCTGATGAGGGTGGAGGCTCAACGTGACCTTATGCTGGAAGAGGACGCTGAGTTTTGCATGGGTGAGCGGTTCTTAGTAGGCTATGTCATGGACAACGCTGAATTGACCCAGCGAGATCGTGTTCTGGTGATGGCCGCCGCTGGAAACAAGCTTTCAACTGAGGTCATCTATCCGGCGCTTCGCCGGATGGGGCCCTTCCTGCAAGGCACAGTGCCGATTGGGCGAGGTCTCTCCGAGCGTCCTTTGCTGCCTGAACTACAGCCCGACGTGAGCGCGCCCACCTCCTCAGCAGCCTCGGGACACACTGCAACCCGTGGGCGGTTCAACCGCGCATACATGTGCTTGAAGAGGAAGATGGATTGGGGGCGGGTCCGCCAGCCGATGATGAGGACGGGGGAGGACTCAACTCTCCTGAAGATGAGCTGGACGCGGTGGAGCATGATACATTGGTGGCCGTTCAGCAAGGACAAGCCCGGCTGCGAGCCATTCGCCAAGCCAGAGGCTATTACAAGAAGACCGAACAAAATGCCCATGGTGACTCAGCCGCCAAGCAGCGTCTTCAGAAGCTGATGGCCGAGAACCCATGTCGGGGTTGTGGGGGCTATGGCCACTGGAGTCGTGATCCTGAATGTCCTCGGAATCCATCCAAGCCGACCTCAAGTGCCAATGTGGCTTCAGCGCCGACAGAGACAGCTCCTGTCCTTGAGCAGCCGCCTAGTGTAGGCCTAGCCACGAAAGCCACTCCGGCACATGCAGCTATGTCAGCCGTGTTGGAGGGTTTTGTAGAACGACCAAAGAGACAAAGCCCAGGACCTGCCACATCAGATCGGGCAGCCCTGTCTACTGTCTTAGAGAGCCTTTTGGATGGACCCAGCAAGTCGTCCGCCCATGGAGCATACATGACTGCTGTGTGTGTGGGCGGGTCGGGCATCACCCCATCGGATGAGCATCATATTCCTTTTGGGTTAGATACTCTCATTGCACAACCTCGTATTGGGGATTATGAAGGGGTGATGATTGTGGACATCGGTTGCGTTCGCTCCGTCGCTGGCCGTGCATGGATTGAACGTGAGGTGGCCATTCGTAAGCAGTTGAATAAGTATGTCAAGGTTGAACGAACAGCCGATTGGTTTCGCTTCGGAGATGGGGTACGACGCTTGTCCCGATATCGTGTTCACCTTGAAGTCGCCATCAAAGGTCATGTAGGGTTGTTGGCGGTCAACATGATTGATTTTCCTTGTCCACCACTATTGAGCAAAGCAGTCTGCAACGCTCTCGGCATGTGCATTGACTGTGAAGCCAACCTGTGTGAGATCCGTCGTCTGGGGGAGCGTAAGTGCACATTGCTAGTTTCCGGGGAAGGGCATTACTTACTAAGGATTAATGACTTCTTTCCTCGTAACCCGTCGTGGCAGACCTTGCTTGAGGGTGGTCGGAAGCCGAAGATTGACACAGAAGACATCCGCATATTTGAGATTCGCTGCGGTCAGGCTGTAGGAAAAGGGTCGAAGTCTCGCTTGCGTCGCCAAGCCCTCGTAGCTACCGCCCAAGTGCCTGGTTCGTGCATTGATCATGGAACACTCGAGCCGCCGCCGCCAGACTCCGAGCCGCGGGCGCTCCTCGAGTCATGCAGCTCACGAGACCATCCCGATTCACTCGGAGGAGGCATCGGAGGCCAGCTTGCTGCTGTCGCCGATCCATGCGGATGCGCCGGATTGGGGCGACGAGGATTGGGAGGCGGAGGAGGATGCATCCATGACCTCAACCCGGAGGAAAGCCGCTGCCAAACCCAAGCCAAAGGCCAAGGGGCTACCCGAAAGAAGACAAGCCGACCAAGTACACTTCAAAGACTCGCTCCAAGGCCGATCAACAAGCAGCCACGACAGGGGAGCTAGCTCCATTTCCCCTGATCGGCATGACGAAATCGTGGGATCCGTGCATGAATGCCAGTTGGGTCTTCCATCAACGAATGATCACCCACAAATGGAAGGTGTTGGTCCTGCAGCTTCGCTTCCGCGAAGCCATGGAAGTCAGCGGCATGCATTGGAAGAGGCATCCCCGCTGGCTGTCAAGCCTGTTCGCGACCGAGCTGGCGGCAGTGTGGGGCCATGTCGGATCGTGCGTCAAGACCATCCGCGGGCCGAAGGGACCGCCCATGTTTCGCATCTCTTATGCCTTGGAGTGCCAAGCAGCGCTGCAGGCCATTTCGTCTTCTGAGCAGCCTGAGCGCCAATTTTGCTTGATTGAGGTGTTTGGGACCTCAGTCTCAGTTCATGCCGCACAGGGATCGACATGGGTAGCATATGAGCCAGTTGACCTGTTGTGTGGATCTGATTTGCATCAAAAGGCCGAACAAGACCTGGCCCTGAAGCAACTTGAGTCCCTAGATCCTGATCTTGTGATTGTGACACCCCCATGCGGTCCCTGGAGTAGCCTGCAAGCTATAAACAACCCGGAGGTTGTTGCTTGGAAGCGGTTGATGGCTTTCCATCTTTGGAACTTCACTCGTAGGGTGTGGGATTCACAAACAGCAAGGGGTAAGTTGTGCGTGACAGAACAACCATGGTTAAGTAAGGCTTTAGAACTCAAGGTTATGGCCACTCGACCGCATTTGCATCGAGCATTGATAGATCAGTTTGCCTTTGGATTTGCCGATCCGAACAATCGCAAGCCTATGAGAAAACGTACTGCACTCGATTGCAATTCAGCCGTGTTTGCCTTTTATTTGGAACAGGGGGCTCAGTGCATGCATGCTCGTTCTGACCACCAAGTTGTTGAAGGGGGAACACTAGTGGAGGGGAAGTGGGTCAACCGATCGCTGCTCGCTGGGTTGTGGCCACAGCCCTTATGTGCACACATCCTCAAAGCCGCTGAAGCTGCTCTTGAGTATCATGATACTTCCATGCCTGTTCGCAACACATGGTTTGTTCAGGAGGATGATCTAGATTGGCCCGCCTTGGTGAGTGCGTTAGGACATGCCATGTGTACATCGTGTTCTGTGCCCCAACATGTGATGGGGTGTTGTTCGCATTGCCTGATGATGTCCCTGTGTGAGCAGTGTTTCGTACATCACACTCACGTGTGTGACCTAGTGGGAGATGGCCACCTAGTTGATGACGACCAAGTTGACGGGCACCTTTTGTGTGTGGCTGAAAGTGAGGCACCTAACCAACATGTGATCGGGGACCCTGAGGTTCTTTCAGAAGTTGCCATTCGACAAGAGTTCAAAAGGTTGCAACAACAAGAGGATGAGCGTAAAGGTGACTTTGGGGGGATCGGTTCTCGATATGGGTATGTGCGGTTCGTCGGCCCCTCAATTCGATTGCCCAAAGAGGTTCGTAACCAGCTCTCGAAGCTTCACGGACAGTTCAGTCACCCTAGCAACGAACGCTTGGCCCGTATGCTACAAATCAACGGTGCTCACAAAGCTATCATTGAGGGAGCTAAGAATCTTCGGTGCAGCATTTGTGAACGCATTTCGGCGCCGCGCTCATCACCTCAAGCATCAGCCAAAGCACCGAACCGTTTCAATGAACAGTGCGCCTTAGATAGCTTCTTTGTCTTAGACAGTGCAGGTTCACGTTGGAATGTCACTCACATCATCGACGGATTTTGCACACTGCAATACGGCATCGTGAGCAAGAACCCCAACAGCGCCAGCAGCACCGAGCTGCTATTCGAACGGTGGATCTTGACCCATGGCCCGATGGATATGGTGCTTGTTGATGGAGGCTCTGAATTTCGGGGATCATTTGAGACCATTTGTAGGCTATAAGATATCCGATTGTCTGTCTTGCCAACATCAGCTAAGTATAAAGCAGGTCTGATCGAGCGTCACGGTGCAGTGTTGAAGTTGATGGTGTTGCGTGTCATTCATGAACTGAGCATCACCAAAGAACAGGAGTTGCGGTTGGCTGTGGCCATGTGTTGTCAAGCAAAGAACCGCCTACTTCGAAAGTGTGGGAAGTCACCGTTGCAGGTGGTCCAGGGTCGCGACGTGGTGGTGCCTTCATCCTTGATGCAACAGGTCGCCGACGGTGAGGTCAGGATGGCCACCAACCACTGCATCACAAATGATGACGAGTTGAATAGGATAGAACAGATGCGATGTGCAGCAATCTCAGCATTTCACTGGCTAGATAGCCATGAACGCCTTCGTGTTGCATTCAATGCCCGTTCTCGACCTCCCTGACTCGTGTCCCTGACGCCAGGAACTCAAGTGTACTTTCACAAACCTCCTGGCCAACATCGACGCCCAATGCCACAGGCCAGTTGGGACCCGCAGTCGTAGCGGCTACTGGAGGCGCCGATAAGGTGTGGCTCCGCTTCAAGGGAAGTGTCGTTCGTGTCGCTCTAGAGAACGTGCGTCTAGCGACACCGGAGGAAACCCTAGATTCGCAGTACATCACCGATGTTCTCAGAGACATGCAACAAGAGCTCACCGGTGAATCTCGTCCGTCCGGATATGAAGACATCACCGAAGAGGCAGAGGTAGGCGGAAGCCAACATCATGATCCGTTGCCCATGGTCTCACAGGAGTCTCAAGTGCCTGAGCCAATGTCGACACCGGTTGACCCAATCGCCGGCCCTGAGTCTGATAATAGAGACCCCTCCGTGGAACAAGGTAGGCCAGTTAGGAACACCGCCCATCCAGAACCATTGCCACAGGTCTAGATGTGACTATCCCTCCTCCTGTAATCCCATCTCTAAGCATTCCTGAGGCAGATCAGACTCCAGCCGTGCAAGAGCAGATTGAACGTTCAAGGCTGGCTGCAGATAAGTTGGACGGACACGTCATGAAGAAGTCTCGAGTAGAGTCAACTAAGGAGCCAGAGCACAACCCGATGTCACAAGCAGCCGCATCGAGCGAGCCAGTCAGTCGACCGATTGAGCCACATGATGTCCCGGACAGTTTGACTCATGCTCCCGTTCGACAGAAGGTAGAATTCTTTGAGGGGGGCGCTCAATTGCAAGACTGGGTTTCATTGGCCAAGAAGCTAAATGTGTCATTTGATGCCATCTCTGAACTTGAACGTGCCAGGTACGAGAGTGTCCTCCGCCAAGCTGCTGACCTTCTTCCAGAGGGACTTGAGCGTCTTCGTAAAGAGAAGAGAAGGGAAGAAACCATGCCCAGTCCAGAAGTCGAATTGCGTAAGCTGTCAAAGAAGGATTTTGGTAGCTCCGCCCCAGATCGAGCTGACCGTGGTTTTGAGACTTTTGAAAATGGGGTAGTGACATGGGCGCCATCTTGGGCTTTAGCCGTTTGGTCCTTCGAGGCCGCCGTTTGTTCTCTGCCGAAAGATGAAGAAGGACGTCTCCAAGCAGATCAACAAGCTCGTCAGAATCGGTTTGAACTTTTGGAGCAAGGGTTCGATGAAGAGACCAGAACACACGAGCTTTCCTTGTGTCTGCTGGAAAGGGGACACAACAATGGTCCCTCGCCTGGTGCACGCAATGAGATCTACTGCAAGGACATGACAGCAGCAGAGTTGAGATTGACAATCCCTGCTTTGGTGAAGGCCTTGGCCATTCATTTTGATCATGAAGCCATTCGACCTGTGAAACTGGGAGTGGTTGTACCCAAGGATCGCATCATTCATGCCAGAATGGTCATCGTGAACAAGAAACAACTGACACAAGGCTTTGAACCAAAGGGGCGCCTTTGCGTCGGAGGACACCGAGACCCGGATTTGGGTCGATATGAAGCAGCCAGTCCGACAGCATTAGCCATCGCTCATGCTCTTTTGCTTTGCATTGCGACAACATTAGGTTGGCGCATCAACATTGCCGATGTGACAGCAGCCTCCTGGCCCTGCCTCGTGCCGAACCATTGTACATCCGCGCGCCGTCAGGATGTCCTCAAGAAGTGTTGGATTACCTGAAATGGCGCCTTGGCTCTGAAAATCGTGGAGATATTTTTGAAGCCACAAAAGGAATTTTTGGCCTCAGTGAAAGCCCAAGACTCTGGTACCTTCGATTTCGGGAGACCCTGGAAGGCATAGGATTCAAAGAGTCGAAATTGATTCCGTGTTTGTTCATGAAGCACGTCAACGGCAAACTAGTGGGGTTGATCACCCTACATGTAGACGATGCCTTGTTGGCGGGTGAACCTGAAGTTGAGCATGACTGGAACGTCTTGCAGCAGAAGCTTAAATTTGGCAGTTGGACCGACCTGAAAGAGGGTGGCAAGTTTCTTGGAAGAGTGATGCGTCAAAGTGAAGACCGCCACACAGTTTCCTTGGACATGAACACCTACTGCCAGAATCTCCAGGAGATTGAGTTCGATGTGAATATGGCTGATGAGAAGCCTGTTGACCCACAACAGGCAATGCAGTTGAGAGCCTTAGTCGGCCAACTTGGCTGGTTGGCCAAGCAGGGACGACCAGATCTGGCATTTCCCATCTCGTATTTGCAACAGAGTCTTGTGGATGCCACTGGAAGCACATTGCGCCTGGCCAATGCGACCATAGTCAAAGCCAAGCAAGAACATTTCATGTATGTCAAGGGCCTGGAGTGTTCGATCGATGAGATCATGGTGCTTGTGGCAACCAACGGGGCCCTAGCTGCGATGCCTCGGGGCAAATCTCAGCTTGGATTGTTTTTGATGCTAGCTAATCCGCTGGTGCAATCACAAGTGAGTCGAGTAGCACCAGTTGAATGGTGTAGCACTTCTTGCAAGAGAGTGGTTCGAAGCTCGGCGGCAATTGAAGCAGCGGCAGCATCCCTCGGGTATGAGCACGCTGAGTTCTTGAGGGCAGTGCTGTGTGAAGTGAGGGATCCTGGCTTCATGATGCGTAGATGGTTTGACCATATCTGTCAGTGCCCCATCCTTTTAATTTTGGATGCCAAAGTGGCATACGATTGCCTGACAAGCGAAGAGTTGCCTCAGGATAGACGGACAGCTCTTGACATTCGAGCCTTCCGTGAATCCCTTGCTGATTCATCCACCGCCTCATTTTGCAGGTGGATTCCAGGACAGCAGCAGGCGTCAGACTCTCTTACGAAGTTTAAGGGCAACAACGTGCTGTTGGCTATCTTGGCCACTGGTCGATGGACCATCGTCGAAGACGAATCCTGGCAACAAGTTCGTGCCCAGCAGCGCTTGACCCAGAAGGCGTACAAGAGTCGCCTGAAGGTAGAAAGGGGGGCGGCCGGTGAGTCAAATGAATCTTGACCCCGCCACGTGTTCATTTGTACATGAGTGATCGTCCGGAGCCCATTGTGGCCCAACCTTCCCAGGTGCGAAAAGGTCGTCCACTCTGTGTTTGCGCTTATGGTCACGCGGTTCCCCTACCACTTTAAGTAATCTGGCGTTGCATCCTGACGTACTTACTTTCTGCCTCTCATTAAATCCGAGCTGCGTCTTTCCTTCCAAAAGAGAGATGCCAAAACGGCCCTGTCGCGAAAGCTTGTTTTGTGCAAGCCTTCTCTTCGTATCGCTGCTAAGTACAACGGTCACAAGTTTGCTTACAAGAAAAGCAAAATAAGCAGTAAAAACTGCTGGTGGGACCATGAGGTCTTTGTCCTGCTACATGCACAAAGTAGCACAGCAGGCATCCGGTTTCCAAGAGAAACTATTTAGGCAATCACCTGGCTGCTGACGAACCAAGCAGTACTGTGCGGGTATGTGCATCTTTCTGAAGGCTACGACCATCCTCCACCCGGCCATAAATGAGCTCTTGGAAGTATCCTTGCAAAGAAAACACTCAACAATGTCTGCATAGGTCATTGATTGGAGAAAAGTAATTGATAATGAATCAAAGAATGTTCCGTCCTTGCCTGAGATATGGTCATCGAGGCGTGCTATCGTTACAAGTGCCTCGTAGGTCTCCCGCCAATCCTGCAAACACCACGAAGCAAGCACTTGTAATTGTTTGTATATATATATACACACATACGTATTGATCTATTTGTTGATATACAATAAAATTATTCAAGGAGAATAACAGTGCACGAAAAAAAAAAAAACAGTTGTGGAAATAATCCAACGCGTTAAGCATCATTGTTCCTTGTTTTTTGCAGCGGCCATGAGAACAACCGCCACAAGTGGCACGCCATCAGTGGCATGACGATTGAAAACAAAAGTTGTTTGTCACTTCCAGTCCATCTCTGCTGGTGATTGGACATGTGGTGGCACATTGAGCAAGCGTGTATCTGCCTCAGCACGTCTCTGTTTGATTTTTCCTCAATGCAAATCGCTTTTAAGATGGCCTTAGAACCCTAATGCCTGGATCCTTCAGACCTCCAGAGCTCCACACCGAAAACTTGGCCCGTTCGCCAACAAATCGTCGTTTGTCCTTTCGACAGTCAAACACGAACGAAATTACTTTCAGTCTCTGAACATGTCGACCTCCTCGGTGAAGTTGAATTCCACGTACCTCGTAACACGAGGACGCTACGAACGGAGCAAAGGGCATCGCTACTAGGAGCAAGGACGCTACTAGGGGCTCCTGGCCTTACTACTACGAACAAGAAGCTACTAGGGGCTCCTGGCCTTACTACTACGAACAAGAAGCTACTAGGGGCTTCTGGCATCGCTACTAGGAACAAGGACGCTAGGGCATCGCTACTATAAAGTTTTCATGATTTTGGGAGATCAACCTGTCCAATAGCATGGAGCACTTATCGAAAACAGGTTGGCATTTGACAAAGTCCCATCTGACAGGTTTGCCTCTGCTGGCCCTGGCCACAACGCACGAAAAATCATTGTGAATTCAGCATCACTTGTCTGCTTTGACTCGATTTCAGACAAGACCTTGTCAGTAAACTTGACGGGCATCTTCTGCAGTTCGTGTGAGACAAAACAACAACTGGTTTGTTCATGGAAAAACACTTGTCTTGAAACAGGCCGGAGATGCACACTAGGGATTCGTTCTGCACTGGTAGATGCCTCATAAAATTGTTTGGGCAGTTCAAGTGACACAGTGTGACAAAAACCAAGGACACTTAGTGGTGTACACAAGCGCGACGATGCGGAACACGTTGCCACAAGGTCGTAACTGGCCTCCATCTCAAAGTGTGCAAAGTTCTTGCCGTGTTTAAACTTAAAAAAACGAGTGAGCAACTTGCCTGGCTGCACCAGTGAGGTTGCATCTTCTAGGTACCACCTCACGGTGCCCAATTTCAAAGACCATAGTTTCCCGCGCTTCATGCACCTACTGCCACAATTGTTTGCAGAAGCCGCACCTGCAAAAGCCGAGGTGCACAAGCCATGAAAAGGCCAGGCAAGTGTTTTGGTTCAAAAACAGATTTTGCTTTCTGTTTTCCTCATGGCTGTTGCAATGCCAACCCACATGCAAAGTCCACAGACTGAACATTGCTGATGGCATTTATTGTACACACTGAACATTGGCTTTGTGTCTAAGAACTGTTCACAACTTTTGTGTGGCAAAACAACATGTTCTGAAACTGCCGCCAAATTTTGCAGCATGCTCACTCCATGTCACATCAGTTAAAAACCTCACATGTTCACATCGTGGCGAAATGTTGTGAGACGAGAAGAGGGACAAAAGAAAGAGAAATTACCATCCAGTGAAGACTAAATCGGTCTCAGTCTTACGAAAGGAAGAGATGTGCCCGGGGTTGGAAGAACAGTCAGTTTCCATGCTGCTAGCTAGGCAGCCCACGTGAGGATCTGTGTTCCTGGCGTCGTTCCTGAAAACAAGTACTGGCGACTGAGCCGGACATCAGGTTGAACAGCACACACAATGTGTTCCATGTGCTTGGTGGTTCCTATTAACATTGCAAAAGGTGCCAATGTCGAACTCAAATTTGTCAAGTAGAAGGGAACAGCAAAAAGTTTTCAAAAAAAAAATGAAATGCCTTGAACTGTTGAGCTGATTGGATTTTAAAGGTCACTCCAGGAAAAATATGTTTGTTTTTCTACAGTTCTGCTGTTTGCATCAGTGACTCGAAGGGTGGTGCATACACCCAAGGGAAGTGAACTTCAAAAATTGTCTACGAGCCCCACGGCCGTGGGACAAACATCCAAGTGTACTTTTTTTCTGCCATTCCTGCCCTGGAAGACTTGCTTGACTTTGTCTCAGGCTTGAAACATGAAAACCTCACATATTTTTTGCAAGGAACATTTTGACATTCATCGGCTTGATTGCTCCAAATGCTTGTTTTTTTTGCACGGGTTGGGCTGCCAGTCATCGCAAAGGATGCGAAGGTCAGCTAGTGTAGAGATTAAAGATTTCCTGTCGACCAAAACCCGAAACAGATCCAAAAACCAAAACACCCCCGAAACACCCAAAAACACCACAAGCAAACCAAACAACCAAAAAAACAAACCAAAAAACGCAACACAGGTCAGACCAGGAAGTTTTTTTGATCTCTTGGAGGCTTGCTCTCCATGCTGCGCTGGAATCAATTCAGTGTGAAACGAAGCTGGACGTGGATGATCACCAACATTCGAGGGACGGCAAAGTGAACAGTCAATGACAGAAGCGTCGCGCGACAGACCTGTGGGCATCAAGACACATGCCTGAGTACCAAACCTTCGCTGTCATGAGTGTTCCCTTGTTCTTGTGTGTTGAGCCTTCTTAGGTTTGGAGGAGAAAGAGTTGGAAGAATAAAACTCAGAAGAAAAAAATTGAGGGAGAAGGCTGCGGCAAAAGAGCGGGTGCGTGCAACGTTTGATGCATCAAGCATGGGTTGTTTCCCCAACAATTTTCAGGTTGTGGTCTTTTTCGTGAAGAAAGGAGACGGCTGGAAAGAAAAGCTTTGAGGGTTCACTGGACGGTCAAGGTGGTTTCTTGGGCCAAAGTCACAATCGGTTCAGACTGTCTCAAAGGTTCTCAAACCTTCTCCAAAGCTTGTCAGCTCTTCGTACAGTCACACCAGCTGGAGCACTTTCGAATGCGGGCACTGGAGATCCACCCAACTCTGCCAGATGTGAACACAACTCCGGGCCACTGGAAACTGTAGTGCCCCAGCCGATCCGACCATGCCAAATGAGGACCCTAAATTCGTCAGAAGCGTTTCTAGCGAAGAACAACCAACCAAACGCCCCAAAACAAACAAACAAAACCGCAAGTCCGGCAAGGAGACTCAGGTGCGTCATGCGGGTGAGACGACAAGGAGACTGAGGTGAAACACAAGTGGGGCAGTGAATTATTGCAAAAAAGCCTCCTGCCAGGAAGGGGCAACACAAGCGAAACAAAGAACCGAACAAAGCCAAACACCCCAAAGCAAACAAGGGGGAAACAACAGAACCAAAACCACCAGAAAGGCGAGGAGACTCAGTGTCGTCATGCGGGGGTGAAACCTAGAGTGAAACCAAATTGAAACGTCCATTGGGCAGTGAGTTCTTCCAAAACGCCTCAATGTGAGCAATCTGAAGTGCGGTATTAACTCATTTGAGGTGCGCTGCTTGCACAGACTCTTCCAGCCTCCCTCCACTGGAGGAAGGGAGGGGCAATCTCTGTAGTGCACTCCAAACCAGCTCTGCTAGAAAAGGTTGCACACCACATCAAAGTGGTGGACTGTCAGGTTACCCCCCTTGTTTTTTTTGGCACGGGTGGAGACGCCATGTGTGCAGAGGTTGCACAGGTCATCTTATGCTAGTAAAGAGAGTTACAATCCAGGTTGCAGTAGAAGAAACACCAAGCACCGACAGAGAAGAACCAAAACAACCAAACCCCCAAACAACACAGCAACCAAAACAAAAACAAACCAAAAACCAGCCCCCAGGAGCCAACTGCAACCTGGTGCGCAACTCAAGCGGCCATGTCAGCCAAAATGAGAGAAGGTGAGACCGGGGCGATGAATTCAGCCTTTGCACTCAGTACGTCATTACCACAAAGAGGAGTCACTGGCCGCCGTTGAGTGAGTCATGCAATGCCCATGTGAAACAATGCAGAATGCACTGTACACTTTGTACAGGGCCGGCAGAGCTCACGCCCACGCCCAGGACAAGGACAGATCCTCGCCTGGCATCCGGCCGATCAGGTATGCAATTCAGTGGCTCTTTTTGCACGGGTGGAGCCGCCATGTGTGCAGAGAATGCACAGGTCAGCTTGTGCTACTTGTGAGGGAGTCTCCAGCAGGAAGGGGCAAAGAACAAGCAAACCAAACCAAACAAAAAACCAACCGCCCCAAAACAAAAGAACAAAACCGCAAGTAGGCAAGGAGACCTCAGGAAGTCATGCGGGTCAGACGAAGAGTGAGACCTCTCAACGTTTCACCTTAGGTTTCACCCTTTGCACGCACGCAGAGTCTCCTTGTTCTTTTTGCTGCTGGTTGTCACCCAAAAATGCACAAGCTGACCTGTGCATCTTCTGCATGAATGGCGGCTCCACCCGTTGCAAAAAAAACTGGGTGTGGGGGCGTAAGCCCTGCTGGCCGTGTACAAAGTGTACAGTGCATACGGCGTAGTTTCACCGGGGCAATGCATGACTCACTCAAAGACAACAACTTGTGAATTCCCTGCTGCGCGAACAAGGGGGCCACTTGACTGTCCAAGGCCATGACACGGTGTGCTACCACTCCTGGCTGAGCTGTTTTTTTGCACGGGTGAAGACGCCATGTGTGCAGAGGTTGCACAGGTCATCTTATGCTAGTGAAGGGAGAGTTGCGATCCTAGTTGCAGTAAAGCAAAACAAACAGCAACCCAAACAAACAACAAACAAACAAACAAAAAAACCCAAACCCGAAGCAAAACTGCAACCAGGGGAGTAACTCAAAAGGCCGTGTAGGCCAGAAGAAGACAAGGTGAGACAGGGGCAACGAATTCGGTTGACACTCAGTACATCTTCTCCACCTCCATTAGTTGAGTTGCTTTGCGAAAGCGTACACGTGTTTTGCGCAGACAAGCCCTACATATCAAATGGCAAATGGTGCAAACACAACGGGCGAAATGCTTCGCAAATTGGTCTGGAAAGCACTAAAAAGCGTACCCGACAGCTGCGGGTGCAAGTATCCAATTCGTGCAGGGGCATCCAGACTTGAAAGGCACTCTGAAGTCAGCATGGGTGTAGCACAAGGGAAAACCGCTGCAGGTTGCACACAAAGCTTCAAGCAGGCGAACTGCAGCGTGACCGCATGCGTGTGGGCTCAAAATTGAGACATCCTGACAAATCAGGGCACCTCGGGCACCTCCTCCCCGAGAGGAGTAAGCCACCGATGCGACACAAGTTTGCAACGGTGACTCAAAACAGCATTGCAATAGGAGTCACAGGAAGGCAAGCATCCCAGCAGGATTGCGAAGGAGGACAGGCACACTCCTGGCTGAGCTGTTTTGGGGTGCACCACTGCAAGGCCCCACTTCCCTCCCCAGTGGAGAGAGGCCACAAAAGGCAGTGCATGCATCGCACCTTCGCAGAGCCTTGTAATCACAGACAGTGCAACATACCACTCATGAAAGGTCACACTGCAAAGAATTGCCCTTTCGTTTGGCACGCCAGCTGTGTAAACAGGCCACTGAACCAAGTGCAACTGCCGATGCCTGAAACAAGACAGTACTGCATTCGCAACTGCTCACTCTGAGGCTTTTGTGCAACAATTCACTGCCCCCATGTGTTTCACCCACGCAATTTGCGGAGACGTTTGGGCAATGAATTCAGGCAAAAAGATCGAAGGACAGGTGCTTCATAGCACGATGCAATAGCTTGTTGTCAACAAGGAAGGTAGGCCTGTCAGTTCCCTGTCCCAGTTCTGTCGCGCCGTGGCACCCGCAACTTTGACAGTTTCGGCATGGCTTGCTTTCCTGTTTGTTGGAAACAGCTTTGATGTGCGTTTACGCGCTACAAGCGTAACGTGTTACTACCACGAAGTACGCGTGCACAAGCCCTCGCGTTTACGCGTCCTATTAAGTGTGTATACGTGTATACAACACACACGAAGCTGAGCAAAGAAACAAAAGCAAACAACTCGAAACACTTTCAAGGTTCAAGCCGTCCCTTTTACTCACAACCAACGTGACGTTCGTCACTCCTGCTTGAGCCTCTCTCTCGAGAGAGGAAAACATTGCGTCCAAAAGTTGAGTTCACTCAACAGACTTCATTCCTAACACGTTCAAACGTGTTGCAAAACCACATTGTGCAACTTGCTTTCAAATGCAAGGTACATGCACACTGTACGTGGTATGTTCATGTGTGCAGATCACGAAGTGAGATGCACACATTCAAAAATGCATACAAAAGCTCTTGGCCGTTTGGAAATCATGGCCTCTTCCAAAAACAATTTTCGTACCATTGTGCCTGTTGTTGTTGCAAAAGGGCAACGCTAGTCCATTGCAAAGTGTTCATTCCAAT